TGGTCTGTGCTCTGGTGGGTGGGGGTGGGGTTGGGAGCAGAATCAAATCTATTGAAGAACAGATTCAGTTCATTTACCCACTCCCTGTCTCCTGCTTCAGGGCCCCTCAAACACCTTCTGCTGTGACCTGAGATGTTATTCAGGCCCCTCCAGACTTCTCTTGCATTTTTATGTTGTAAATGCTCCTCCATCTTTGCTCGGTAGCTGGCTTTCCCCTTCTTGATTTTTTTTTTGAGCTCCTTCTGCACCCTCCTCAGCTCCTCTCTATCTCCAGCTCTAAAAACTCTTCTCTTTTCATTGAGCAGGGTTTTCAACTCAGGGGTCACCCAGGGTTTGTTGTTGGAGAAACACTGTATTTTTTTGGTGGGTACAGTGTTCTTAACACAGAAGTTCATGTAATCTGTGATGCAGTGGGTTAAACTGTCAATGTCCTCCCCATGTGGGCTGCACAGCACCTCCGAGTCAGTGGTGTCGAAGCAGTCCTGCAGCGCCTCAGTGGCCTCCTTAGACCACTTCTTCACATACCTGGTTGTGGGGGGTTGTTTTTTCACCATAGGTATGTAAATGGGCTGCAGTCTCAACAGGTTGTGGTCTGAGCGGCCCAGGGGGGGCAGGGGTGATGATCTGTATGCATCCTTGGTGTTTGCATGTATGGTGTTTGTAGTGGAAAAATACTGTCTGTCTGTCGCCCTCATTTGAACTTAAAAGACTTAGATGTTTGTGCGTCATTTAGCAATTAAAAACTGTTTCTCTCTATGGCCTTGGTCTGCATCTCCAACAGGTACGCTCCTCATTATCTGAGTACAGCATGATCCTAAATCAGTGCCCTCCTGACAAAGGAGTTTCTGTTCTGTTCCACCGTACCAGGTACCTTATAAAGAAGCTTGCATACAGTAGATAAATCACCAGGCAAACTAGAAGAAGCTGTAGCCACTAGGGCAAGCTGAAACCAATGACCATGTATTACTCATGTATATGCAAAATACCTACACCCTGTGAATGTATAAATATGCTCTGCAACCGGGACTGCCCCGGGAATCTTTGATGCACTTGTGACTGATGTTACTTTTGTCGCTGATTACCCCTTTTGCAAAACAACTCTTACTATATGCAATAAAATACACAAAGACAAAAGACTTTGACTTGAGATCTTTTATTACCAACAGAAAAATCCACAACAAGGGAACAGATGAGGAAGGAGGGAAGGGATGAGGAAGGAGGGAAGGGATGAGAAGTAGGGAAGGGAGGGTGGGTAGAAGGATCTGAGACAAACGGGATGTGGTGAGGTGACAAGGTGTGAATAAGCTGTCAGGTAAATACAGGTGCGGTTTTAGGCATGATCCTGCTCCTGAACCTAAGTAAATACATTAACGCCAGTGAACACCTGTCAGTGAGCAAAGTTCCTTTTTGTTATCTGTTGTTTGAGCTGGTGTTTTTATTCATTATCGTCCAGATCTTGTAGGGAGGAAAGTCTTATGAAGAGTAGCCGTCATCTTCATAATTGCACCTTGATCACTTTTTGAAGCTTGTTATGACAGGTTGTCTTGTTTTCTGAGTAAAAGGTTTACTTTTTTTAATTTGGATTTCCGTCACATCACAGAGATTTCACCACTGTGTTCACTCCAAATTAATCTCTTCTGAGGTAAGCTGTAATATTCTTTATTTTGTTTGGGTGTACCTTATGTTTAATTTTATAGACGCTGGGAAAACAACATGTTTCCATTAGTGTCTACTTTGAAGGTACTTTTTTTAACGTTTTCTGTACCTCTTTTATGCTGCATGCTTTAAGCTTCTTGCTTCTGATTTTGTTTTTAATTGAACCCTGTATCACATTTACTTGTTTTGTTACTGGATACTTTAGGGATAGGAAATACTCTTCACTGTTTGAGTTCAAGCTCTGATATAAAACCCCATGTCATATATCATACTTTATCAATCTATGATCCCATCAGTTAAAAAGCACATGTTCAGTTTGATAAATTTAGAGGTAGTACAGTGCCATCAAATATATTTAAATGCCCAAAAATAAGTGTATTCATTTGGGAAGCATGAGCTATTTTAACAGTTTCAATTAAATTACTGCAGACATGGTATCATATATGCTGAAGTTGGGAGAAACAGAGGTGATGAGGTTAATTTAATGTTATCTGAAATTATACAGATATTAAATTAAATTATATAGAATCATTGATTTTTTAATCGACAAAGTAACAAGTGAAACTGAAGAGAAAACATTGAGGAATAAACGGAATAGAATTAGAATCTGAAATGTAAATGTGTTAAAGTATAAAGTAACAAAATAGTACCAGTTAAAATGTCTACTTCAAAACAATCTTTAGTTAGGTATTAAGGTCTTTTACCTGCTTTTTGTAAAGTGTGTCGAGATAATACTTGTTATGAGTTGAGGTTATACAAATAAAAATTGATTGATTGATTGATTGATTGATTAGACTAAATGTACATGTTTCCTTCATGCCTCCATTACTGCGTGCCTGCAGGTAAACTAACCCTACCTTAAGTCAACAGTTTGTCCTCATGTGACTTCAGTACATTTCATAAGACCATGTAACCTTGGCACACCTGATTGTGAGAATTTGACCATCAGTATGAACATTGTAATTATGTTCCTGTCAAACCTCTAGCACCAAAAAGTTGTTTTGTTGTACACTACCTGTTTGGTAACATATAATTATCACATTCTCGATTGACTAGATTAGTTTGATGTTGGTAGTGAGACATGATGACACTATAAATATTCAGAGGTTTTTATGACTGAGTTAAGTGACTTCCAGAAGAATTCATATGATAAACTTAACACAGAGTCTGTTTCCCCTTTTTGTTGTTTTAATCCAGTACCAGAGGACTCACCATGTGGCTAAAAGGTTTTACAAGTAACCATGTCAACATGAAACTTCTGAAGACCTGTGTCATCCTCCTCCTTGTGTATGTGTTGTTCTTTACACTAAGAAACATGGCCCTGCTGCAGGTGAGAACTGGGATTATTGGTAAAACTTTAAAGGTGGAATTTGTATGTTTTGAGTCTGATTACAGGAGACTATTTACAACAGTCTCTTTCGATGTACTCTCAGATAACATTAATCTTTTTGTTGCAAATAAACACTACAGGGGCTGGGGGGTGAGGGCACTAGCATGGGCCCTACTTGAAAATGATGCTCACCTGCTGCACCCCCAAAATCCTAACCAGCTATTCACCTTGTCAAAGGTGGGACAGATGATAATATAACATTTAGGTGGGGAGCATTTTTAATTCAAATATTTCACTGCTTTATTCCATAAAGATTCAAATTAAGACATCAGACTTAAGACATGAAATGTTGAATTTATTTTTTTAAATTTTGTTAATAATAGTAATTCTGAAGTTACAGGAGTGTCCACTAGAGTGGACATCATGCAACTCTATAATGCAAAAAATGTTTATTTATTTATCTTATAGTGCATAAACAACGATAATAATTCTTCCCCTTTCAAAATCACATTTCCAATTTTCACATGTCAACTGGGGTGGAGAGATCCATTTAAATTTAAGTTTTGAATATAATAATATAAAGTGTTTGAGTTTTTGAGTGTTCCTGTTTAAAAAAGGAAAAACATGCTTAATGAGCTCAAACTACGTGCTCAGTTTTTGCCTTAAGGCTGTCTGAACAGCATTTAATGGGAGAAAATAAATTTAGAGTAACCAAAACCATCACAACATCAGTTATTTTCATGATGAGCAAAGTCTCAGTATTGCCATTGAAATGTAGCCGGCAATGCACGATGCCCCAACTAGTGGACAGCCGATCAATCATGATTTTCTCCAAAACTAAAATCAATATTTGGATCTTTTCACAATAACATTGCTCCTTAGTTTTTACTTTTATGTTAAGAAAAAAACATCACCTGCAAGTTATATGGACCATCTACATTTTGGCACACTTTCAACAGCTGGCCAATGGATGACAGTGTATGGGCTGACTTGCTAAAGTCCACTGGAGTGGAAAACAGCTTTTGAATAGCTGTCCATTGTAGTGACCAGTATGTGTGAAAAGGATAATTATTGGTACAGTCAAAATGAGCTGCCTTGTTGATTTGATTTTGATTTGATTGATTTATTTGGAACATGTAAAAAATGAAAAACAAAATAATAAAATAGCTGTAATTAAAAATATGTAAAAAAATAAAGTGAATTCACAACATAAGAAAGAGAAATCATAGTTCATTCGTTTTTGATGCCCGAAAAGGAGTAAGAAGAATGATTTAATCTACCCCTTTTAACTCAATTTAATTTGTATGAATTATACCATAATATATAATATTAAAAATTGTAATTACTTGTATACCATAATGTAACTATTCTCATTACCATAATTATTTACAGTGTGCCATTACCAGTAATAAAACCCACAAACTATACTAAAGTAAATCATAAACTAAATAATTACAAACACACCCCAGTGATTGTATTACCCTTCCTCATGTACTATATGTTGGAGGGTCAGGTTTTAACCATTTAATTGTGATACAGTTGAGAACTGCTGTTATCACTATTTCTAAAAGGTATTTAATAGCTCTACCATCAACCTATCGGTTTTAGGCCCAGTATTTCCTCATTCGATCTTTTGATGAAATATTGTTTCCAGAGCCTCAGAAACCTCCTCCCAAAATGTTTTTAATGTTCAAAATATGGGTATGGGTGCTGATTTGTCTACCACTATTTATCCAACATGTATCACAGTATGCTGAGACCATTTTAACCACTATTACTGGTGTCCGTAAGTATCTCATTATCTTCCACTTCAATTCCCTCCATGTATTAGAATTGGCTACAAGATGTGCTTCAGTTCATATTTCTAACATTTTTCCCTCTGGTATGTCTACATTAATTTCAGTTTCCCATCTTCCTTTTATCTGCATTGCAATTTTCAAAGTCATACCTGAAAATACATGATAAAAGTGCAGCCTTGATTTTATTCCCACAACATTTCTCAAAGAGGTTTTTAACACAGTTGGACCCAGTATTTTATCCATTATTAATAGTTCCTTGGCGGAAGGTGTAGTCCCCTCTGCTTTTAAACATGCTGTGGTCCAACCACTTTTAAAGAAACCCAACCTTGATCCCACTGATTTTAACAATTTTAGACCAATCTCAAAACTTCCATTTTTATCAAAAGTTTTAGAAAAGGTGGTTTCAACACAACTTTTATCTTTTATGACTGAAAATAACCTCTTTGAGAAATTCCAATCCGGTTTTAGAGCTTGTCACAGCACAGAGACTGCCCTCCTCAAGGTAACCAATGACCTTCTTTTAGCAACAGATAGAGGGGAGGGCACAATTTTAATTCTTTTAGATCTTAGCGCAGCTTTTGATACTGTTGATCACACAATTTTAACTGATCGTCTCAGACATTGGGTTGGTTTAAAGGGTACTGCACTTAGCTGGTTTTACTCTTATCTTTTAGAAAGAACCTTCGCGGTCACCATCGGTAACTACTCCTCCTCTACCTCTAACATTACCTGTGGTGTACCGCACGGTTCGGTTTTAGGTCCCATTTTATTCTCCATTTATATGCTGCCTCTTGGCCAAATAATTGAACGCCACAATGTCTCCTTTCACTGCTACGCAGACGACACACAGATATGCCTTCCTTTAAGACCTGAGGATGCTAGGAGCCTAGCTGCTGTCAGAAACTGCCTAAACGATATCAACTGCTGGATGGCGCAAAACTTTCTCCAACTGAACAATTCTAAATCTGAAATCATAATATTCAACCCGCCAAACACCACTCATATCTCAAAGAGCAGCCTCGGTCCCTTATTCACCAATGTCCAACCCACCGCCAGAAATCTAGGAATAACATTCGATTGCAATCTCACCTTTGAATCCCATATCAAAACAGTTGTCCGATCAAGCTTCTTCCATCTACGCACCATCTCCAAAATTAAAACAATCCTAACCCAACGAGACCTTGAAAAGATCATCCACGCCCTCATCTTCTCCCGACTTGACTACTGTAACTCCCTCTTTTCCGGAATCACAAATAAGTCACTGTCTCGCCTCCAGCTGGTCCAAAATGCAGCAGCTAGGCTTCTTACTAGTAACAGACGACATCACATCACTCCAATTTTAGCTTCATTACACTGGCTTCCTGTACGTTTTAGAATCGATTTTAAGATTTTACTCATTACTTTTAAAGCACGGACGGGGCTGGCTCCAAGCTATATAACAGAGTTACTGACACCATATGAGCCAGCCCGCAGTCTTAGATCCTCGGGTGGGAGCCTCCTGGTCGTTCCAAAGTCGAGACTTAAAACTAAAGGTGACCGGGCCTTTTCAGTCAGGCCCCCTCGACTTTGGAACGACCTCCCTGAGGAGATAAGACTTGCAGATTCCCTCAATTCTTTTAAATCCCTTCTTAAAACATACTTTTACAGACTTGCTTTTATGTGATGTCGTCTTCTTAATGTCTTCTCTTACTGGTTTTACTATTTTTATCTTCTTCTACTTCTTACTGTCTTTTATTTATGGTCTTATCTCGTATTCATGCTCATATCTTAATCTCCTCTTGTGTTTTAACTTGGTAATTTCTTATCTTACTTACTTTGTCTATTTATGTTTCGTATTTATAGTTCATTTTTATTTTTATTAATATTATAATTTTGGGTTTTTTGATCCTTTAACCACTTGTTTTTATTTCTTTTACTGTGCTTACCTTCTCATTGCTTTTTATTTGCTTTTATCTCTTAGTTTCTTACATCTTTTTAAATCTTTGGTCCTCTTGGTCTCAGCTCATGTTGTTGGGTTCTTGTGTTCCTGGGTTCTTATGATGGTTCTTATGATGGTTCTTATGATGGTTGGGTTATATATGTCTGGTTGTGTATCGTGCACTTTGGGTTCTTTTCTGTTGAATTGTATTTAATTATTTTTGGTATTTTGCATCTGTTATATTCTTACTGTTGTTAATGTTTTCTGTGTTTGGTTTAGTTTGCTTTGTTCTTGCTGTTTGTCAAAGCACTTTGTAAACCTGTGTTTTTAAAAGGTGCTATATAAATAAAGTTATTATTATTATTATTATTACTTGTAATTTTCTCACCCCCCATTTCCTGTTTGTGCTATAAACAGAAACTCCTCAATTCAAGGGGCTCCAAGATTTTATTCCATTCTTTATGCTTAGTGGAAAATGTCCTGAACTGTAAATATATAAAGAAATCAGTGTTAGGAAGTGTGAATTCCTATTTAACTGTTCAAATTTTAGACTTCTATCCCTGTGGAGTTGCTGTAGCTTAGTGAGTTCATATTCTGACCATTTCCTAAATCCTGCATCTGTATGGAAGGGAGTAAAACCCTTTATAAATTCAATGTAAGTTAGTCCCGAGATTGCAAACCAAAAGATGCTTTTACTTTCGTCCACATATTTGTGACTCTGGTCCATTTAACCATTTGAATGTCCCCTAATGGGACGTCTATGAAAGCTAAGGCCTGCAAGGGATTTAATATGTGGATGTCAGTGGACAAGAAAACATCCACCACATCTTGACTTAACAAAGACAAGCCACTCTGCGATGCTCTTTTCATACCTAGAAATGTTACTCGCCTGTTTCCTGTTAACCTTATTAACTGTAAGATGTTCCATCAGCTGTTATTTAAAGCATTTTACAACTTTTATACTATTTTGTTGCCACTGTCCCAACTGTTTCAAACATGTCTTCACCATCAAATTTAAGTACAATTTATTTTTAAATGGAAAATGACTTCCCCTCCCGCTCAATCTTTTCTGTGGTAAATTGATGCACCGTGCTCCGGCATCTGGCAAAAATAGAAGCCTTGTGTAACTGCTACGGATTGCTCCGGACTGGCCGAGCTGAGACAGTGGAAGCTGGTGGAATTTGGCCGTCAGACACACTCTGGCTCAGCATTGAAAAAAGTCTTTGTTATTCCCTCACAATCCTGTAACTTTCTTTCTTGTGTAGAGATCATGGCAATATATTTGAAAAATCTTCCATCCTCTTTTAGTTCAATTTAGTCCATTTGTTTGATACATTGTTGTAACCATCCTTCTTTTTCGACCCCTTGCCAGATTAATTTTGAAGAAAACTCTATCATCTTCCTCAAGAAAGTGACCTCCGCTCCTTCCACCGGTCCTGTGTTGGCTCCTTACATGCCTGACAACTTCTGCACCATCAAGCCACTGTCTTCTGCAGATGCTAAGGAGGAACGTCTCCTATTGGACTCCATTGCTTGGCCTGAGACTCCTCCTCTGCCAGCTCCTTTTTCATTGAATCAGACAAGTAATGCCGCCCACAGCACCTTTACCATTCTCCCAAGGAGGGGTGGAGGAGATTGGCATGTAGGAGACCAGCTGGAAGTTATTATACAAATGTACAACTTCCAAGGTAACCCCAAGAAGTCTGGAGGAGATGCAATTGTTGCCCGGTTGCACAACAGGGCACTTGAAGCAGGTGTGGCTGGACGAGTGGTGGATCTCTTAATGGCTCCTACTCTGCTGTATTCTCTTTACTCTGGGAAGGAAGCGCACAGGTTGAGGTACAGTTAAGGCTATATCCTTAAATGTTTGTACAAGTAATGCCAAAAGAATTACCTATTGCAATGGTATTGTCTGTAGGTAGTTTAATTCATGAAATCTAAACCATTCCCCTGATTACTTTTGCTAACAAGCAACAAATTCAAAGTTAAACGAAGACATTGTGGAAGTCTGCAGCGCTCCTGGTCCGAAGAAAATACAAGGAAAGAAAACTCTCTGTGCTCGACCAACTAGTTGCCGACTACGCACCAAACTCTTAAACATGCTGTGGAAGCAGGGAAAGTGATACAGACCTGTCTGCGGAGAAGGCCAGCACTTGAGAGACGAGGAGCAATGGAGACTACAGTCTTTGATTCCCTGCTGTTATCCCCAGTTCTACTCCAATGAGGGAATTGAGTCTGACTCCCCCCTACACTTTACACCTGGGCCACAGGCCTGAGTCTTGTCCAACACACGGCTGGTCACAACACTCATAACACTTATGTTTACACTTTTTAATGGTCTGATGCTCTACAGAACACTTTAGCCACTCTAAAATTGCCTATGGCCAGAGATGGTGTCAGAATGTTGGGTTAGATAGTTGCAAAACTAAGGGTCCGGATATTATGTTACGAGCCAATTTACAGAGTACTTGTTGCAGTGGCCTGGGATTAGAATCCACTCTTGGCCTTTTGCTGATGTCACCCCCACTTTCTCCTCCCAACATTTCTGTCTGTCTTCAGCTGATATAACAGAGAGAAGAAAACAAGTTCTACTGGCCAGCTAGTGAGAGTTTACCATATAACCAATCTCTCTTATGTTTAAATAATTAGCAACTTCAGTGGGCTGAAGCAAAAAAAAAATAGTTATGAACTATCTAATTATACAGTACTGTACATGGGGTATTTCTTGTATGTATAACTTTAACTTTTGTTTTGTTTTATGAGGTGACCCTTGTCCTCAAGTGAGGCTGTCACAGTTCTACGTAGGCTAAACAGAGATCATCCTGATAGGGTTCGCTTCCAAAGCGTCTTCCGCTCAGGCTCAATCTCTGAATCTCCATCTGTAATGTTTGCCTACCAAACCAGCCAGCCACAGTGCAACTACACTGACCTCCATACAGGTGACCCGTGGTTCTGCTACAAGCCAAAGAATCTGAGCTGTGATGCCAGGTTTAACCACATGAAAACAGGATATAATAATGTACTCAAGACCGAAGAGTTGAAGTCTTTCAAAGGTGATGAAGTTTAAAAACTATCTTTTTCACTTGATGAATACATACAAATATTAGAGCTTACTATGTATCTCCTGGTTTAAATATGTCTAGTTTAATAACAACGGACTTTATGAGTAAATCTAAAGGTATTTATATATAAAGCCCAAATATGGAGGCAGAGTAACTTAATGCAATTAATTTTACCTTTTGGTAAATCATGTTTTGACAGTGATATATTAGTGTGTGTAAAGTACAATATATAAGTGAATTTTTATACAGGAATGTCAACTGAAAGTCTTCATTCCGGCTTCAGGACTGCCAGTGTCACTGTGTTGCCACGAAGGAAAGGTAAGCATGATCTTTCTACTCTCACCAATAAAAATCAAAACTGAATGAGCTTGAGACCTTGACAGTTAAGTGACTTGTGAAAGAGTAATACAACCTTTTTTCAATTCTTCTCAGGGAACCTGCAGTCAATCAAGACAGTGGGAAGTCTGGACTCTCTGGGTATTACTACCAGGGTGTGTGGCGATCACTAGGTGGCTTTAACGTTAACCAATCAACAACGACTCTGCAATCAGCCAGTGTTTGAAAGGCAAGGTGGTCCACATGTATGGAGACTCAACCATCAGGCAGTGGTTTGAGTACCTCGACGCTTCGCTTCCAGGTATCTGTTCCACAGTTATTGTAGGCAAAATTTGGTTCATTAATATTGCAACTTAATCTGTTCCTTTGTCACACTTGCAGAGGCTAAGGCAGTAAACCTGAACAGTCGAAGCCAGCAGGACCTTACATGATATGGGAAATGCAAACAAAATCATGGTAACGTACCGCATCCATGGTCTTCCTCTTCGGATTTCAATATACCAAACCAGTAAGGAGTTTTCGTTTCCAAAAACTTGATACGCTGGTTGTGGTACAACACAGTTGTAGTTTTAGGAATCTGGGCCCATTTCAGCACTTTTCAATTGAACTTTACATCAGACGGCTTCAGAGCATCCGCAGGGCAGTGGTCCGTCTGTTGAATAGGGCTCCTGGCACACTGGTGGTCATCAGAACTGGGACCCTCCAAGCTATGCCGTTGGTAATGTGATAAGCAACGGTGACTGGTTCTCGTTTCAGGTGGACAAGGTGCTCAGAGCCATGTTCAAGGACTTAATGTCCAACTGGTGGAGTGCATGGGATATGGTTCTTGCTCACCACTTGCCACAACATTCATCCAAAACGTCCCATCATTAAGAATATGGTTGATGTTCTATTGTCCTACATATGCCCACAAAAAGAAGAGATAGCTGTTAATTTCATGAAGGAATTTTAACAATTCAGGAAAAATGCAGCTCTTGTCAATCAGTTTGAAGTCAAATAGCTCTAATAAAAACAGGCGTGTGAAGATTCACATTAACCCAAACAGCTCATTGAGCTAGGTACTTGGAATTTGGAAATTTAAATACATCTGAGCTCAAGTCTAAATTTACCATACACAATAAGCTAAATTTACCATTTAGTCCATTTACTCCATAGAATTGTATGAGAATTACTATCTACCCATTAACTAATGGCTAACTAGTAGTTAATTCCCCATTAACTAGCAACAATTTGTGTATGTTACATTACTGCTAAATTATAATTAGCTACTCTGGAACATGTAATGAAGAAGTATTCACCATCTACCCATTACTAAATACCCATGACATGAATTTATTCAGCCAATTTACATGAAAACTAAAAACTAAACTAAAATAATCCATTATGCCATCCAACCTTTGGCTGCTCAATTGAAAACGAAAAGTCAGTGAGGGAGCGTCTCCTATTCACCTCATTCAATCATGTAACTATCTTATTAAACATTAAGTGGACTTTTTTTATTCAATGTGGTTAATCAGCTAAAGTATGGATCCACAGTAGTTAAATTATTCATGAGCTCAATTTATTATGTGAGTAAATGTTTTGTTGCTTTGATTATTAATCATGTCCTCTCTGAGGTAAAATTTCTATTGACAAAGAAGCATAGCATGTTTCCTTGATGTCTGATGATATAGTTAGGTCATTTTTATGATTTAATTCAGGAAATATCTACATATGGGACTTGAACTTGATCCTAGCCTGAATGGTTGGATAATGGACTTTTTACCAATAGGTGGCAGTGCGTGACAGTAAATGGTGTTCTTTCTATCCTGATCTTTTTCTTCCACCAGCTTGTTGTCTGTCAGCCCTTCTGTACATTATGTACACTAATGAGTGTTGCAGCATTTGTGTGTGTGTGCTGTTGTATGTGTACATATTTCATATTTTATATGCTGCAGCTGGATTGCTTCTACAGAGTTTCGTTGTATAAATTTACAATGACAATAAAGATCAATCAATCTATCAAAAACAGACACATTGGGAAATGTGTGTTGATGTTACTTTGATTGTCAGCCTTCTTGATGGGGGAGAGCAGGGTTATGAGGCAGTTGTGGATGACTTTATGGCTTGGCATGATCAATCTTTTCTTCATTTCAATGTGTCATAAATAAAACACATGATTATTGTTTCAAGCAAATTTTCACTTTAAATAAGTAGAAACAATTTGTCCATGGAGTCAGTGTTTTTTCTTATTACAAGCAAAAAAAACTAACCCATGGAGTTTCTTCTTATTTCAAGTGAAAATTTGC